TGAAAGTTTCACGGAAATCCATTGAGCCGTTTTCAAGAAATCGCGTGCACAAAATCGGTAAGAAAAAAAAATAATAACGCAAATAGGATAAGGCTGCCCGTAAAATATCAAACTGTTCAATCTGTAGTAACTTCTCTGAACTACCTAGATATGACGTCATAATAGAATATGACGTCAAGTCACTGCAAATTTGAGCTGACATGACGGGGAAAGTGTCATAATTTTACACGGCATGTAGATATATTATGGGGATTTGTGTTTAATTCAAGAGTAAGGTTCGTTTTTTTAACTTGTGTGTGCTGTTATAATGTTTAACATTTTATATTTAAATATCTCTATTCCTTTTGCTTGTCTGATATGCATATATTCAAGCAATAGCAAAAAAATTATGTTTGAATCGCTCCCCTTACACTTCCGTAGAGAGAGTTAGAATTTATGAATCGTGTTTAAATTGGACTGGCACAAGTGAAAAACAAGGATAAATTGAAGATATTTTGCGTAAATCTAAAAGAGATGTATGTCTTCTAACTGAATTTTGCTGGGGGATCGTATATATTTTATCCGTTTTTGTATAAATCGGGATAAAGAGTGGAAAATACCCCTTCTTACGTAGGTAACTTTAATTTATCGTAAAATATTTTCTTAAGAAGAAAAAATTAAACCTGCCCCCATCACTTTTTAAGTACCATAGATCACGATGAATTGATCTATGTAACAAACTTTGCACAATAATTGTGTTATGCACTTGTGCCGATGCGATTTTTGTGCAACATTTAAGAATATCAAAAAATGTCCGTCACGTGATCAACATAGTCATCTGACATCACAGAAAGGCTTTATTATAATACCTGATTAAACTGTTATCTTAAGTTGACTGCAATTTCAAACAAGGATAACATATTGAAACTAAAATCTAGCTCAAAATAAAATGTGTATTTTTAAAACATTTTAAGCCTTCGGACAGCCTTATCATAACTGCGAATAACTAGAGCAAAGCTCGTTGCAAAGCAACGAGTAGGTCTTCCGTCCTGTTTGACCGGAGGTAGTTTTCATTTTTAACGAATATGAGAAATAACGCCCCAAAATTGGTTGAATCCTCAAAATTTATGTTAATTAATGCAAAAATAAGCCATTTTTGCTACTTCCGGTTTGACCGGAAGTGACGACGACGGACGGAGAATTTATTTTTTTGTTCCTAGTGACATAAGTTACCCAAAAACTTGTCAAGAATGACCAAAATACGCGTTTTCCGACTACTTCCGGTTTGGCCGGAAGTGACGTCGTCGGACGCATTTTGACGACGCCCGTAGATTAAGCTTGAAATTTTGAACAACTTTGCTTCTTTGATGTATTACAAATTCTCAATACTTTTTGAAATATAAAGGAAAAAATTATGGCCCCTCCAGTCCCTTAATTTTAGGGGCCAGCCCTTTTTTACAGATATCATTTGAAAGATCTTGGAATTCTACACTTCTTTTGTTCTATATGTTATAACAAAATATTTCAAAGTAAAAAGATATCATAGAAAAGGTTGTAAAAAAATTGAAATTCGCGATAAGACAATTTTCGGGCCATAGCGAGCGCCGACGCGCGGCACTTCCGATAAAAATGAAATTCATTTTGCACATCTATAGACTTAGGACTATCATACCTGAAATTTTCACGTTTCTATCTTAAGCCAGTTTTTAGAACGTTCGCGGACAACCTGACCCTTCAAAAATCATAAAATCGACAATATTTCCGGACCGGAAGTGACGTCATCAAAACGGAAAAAAATGAATCAAGTTCAAGTAATGTTACATAAGTCCTGAAAGTTTCATGGAAACCCATCGAGCCGTTTTCGAGAAATCGCGTGCACAAAATCGGTAAGAAAAAAAGAATAACTAGAGCAAAGCTTGTTGCAAAGCAACGAGTAGGTCTTGCGTCCTGTTTGACCGGAAGTAGCTTTCATTTTTAACATAAATGAGAAATAACGCCCAAAAAAACTTTGAATCCTCTAAAATTATGTTAATGAATGCAAAAATAAGCCATTTTTGCTTCTTCCGGTTTGACCGGAAAAGACGACGACGGACGGAAAATTAATTATTATGCTCCTAGAGACATATGTTATTCAAAAACTTGTCAAGAACAGCAAAAATACGCGTTTTCCGACTACTTCCGGTTTGGCCGGAAGTGGCGTCACCGGACATATTTTGACGATTCAAAAAGATTTAGCTTGAAATTTTGAACAACTTTGCTTCTTTGACGTATTACAAATTCTTAATACTTTTTGAGATATAAAGAAAAAACTTTCGGCCCCTCTAGACCCTTTATTTTAGGGGCCAGCCCTTTTTTCTAAATATCATTCGAAAGATCTTGAAATTCTACACTTCTTTTGTTCTATATATTATAACAAAATATTTCCAGGTAAAAAGATATTGTAGAAAAATTTTGAAAAATTGTGAAATTCTTGATAGGACTATTTTCGGTAAAAGCGAGCGCCGACGTGCGGCACTTCCAATAAAAATGAAAAATGAAAAATGCAAAGCTTGTTGCAAAGCAACGAGTAGGTCTTGCGTCCTGTTTGACCGGAAGTAGCTTTCATTTTTAACATAAATGAGAAATAACGCCCAAAAAAACTTTGAATCCTCTAAAATTATGTTAATGAATGCAAAAATAAGCCATTTTTGCTTCTTCCGGTTTGACCGGAAAAGACGACGACGGACGGAAAATTAATTATTATGCTCCTAGAGACATATGTTATTCAAAAACTTGTCAAGAACAGCAAAAATACGCGTTTTCCGACTACTTCCGGTTTGGCCGGAAGTGACAACGCCGGATGTATTTTGACGACTTCGAAAGATTTAGCTTGAAATTTTGAACAAGTTTGCTTCTTTGACCTTTTACAAATTCTCAATACTTTTTGAGATATAAAGAAAACAATTTCGGCCCCTCTAGACCCTTTATTTTAGGGGCCAGCCCTTTTTTCTAAATATCATTCGAAAGATCTTGAAATTCTACACTTCTTTTGTTCTATATATTATAACAAAATATTTCCAGGTAAAAAGATATTGTAGAAAAATTTTGAAAAATTGTGAAATTCTTGATAGGACTATTTTCGGTAAAAGCGAGCGCCGACGTGCGGCACTTCCAATAAAAATGAAATACCTCATACATATCTATAGACTTTGGTCTATAATACCTGAAAGTTTCATGTTTCTATCTTCAGCCATTATTGAGAAAACTGCCGGACAAAATGACCCTCTAAAACTCACTAAATCGCAGAAAACCCCGAACCGGAAGTGACGTCATCAAATTAAAGAAAAACTCCTTAAGGTCATATAATTTGTCATCAATGCTGAAACTTTCATCAAAATCCATCGACGCATTTACGAGAAATCGCCTGCACAAAATCGGTAAGAATAATAATAAGAAAAGTTGAAAAGAAACAACAGAATAATAAGAAGGTCTTCCGTTGAAACGGAAGACCTTAATAATAGGTAAGGAAAAAAAGTGAAAAAGAAACCGAAAAATAACAGGAAGGTCTTCCGCTGAAGACGGAAGACCTTAATAAAAGTGAAAAGGAAACCTAAGAATAACAAGAAGGTCTTCCGCTGAAGACGGAAGACCTTAATAAAAGTGAAAAAGAAACCTAAGAATAACAATAAGGTCTTCCGCTGCAGATGGAAGACCTTAATAATAAAAGTGAAAAAGAAACCTAAGAATAACAAGAAGGTCTTCCGCTGAAGACGGAAGACCTTAATAAGAAACAGTTTAAAAACAATATGTTCCCAAACTTCGTTTGTGGAACATAATAAACACTTTCATGTTAATAGACACAAGTTCAATTATGGACAGATGCACATATAAATATGAAATTGACATCGGATTCATATCAAAGTTAATCCCACCATATGGCATGCCTCAACAAAGAGTGTACTTAAGTTTCAAGCATGAGCTATGAGTATTTGATGAGAAAACTGAGACGAAAATTTGTTATGTATGAAACAGACAGACGCACAGACAAACAGGAAATTAAAATCGGATTTGACCAAAAATGTATACCATCGTATGGCATGCCTCAGAGACGATTGTGTTAAAATTTCAAGCATCTGCGATGAGTACATGCTGAGAAAACTTTGACGTTTGACGAAAGATTTGTTATGTATGAAACGGACAGACGCTCAGACAAGCAGGAAGTTGACATCGGATTTGACCAAAAATGTATCCTACCGTATGCATGCCTCAGAGAAGATTGTGTTAAAATCTCAAGCATCTGCGATAAGTAGTTTCTGAGAAAAGTGCGATGAAAATTTGTTATTTTATGAAACAGACAGACGCACAGACAAACAAGAAGTTAAAATCGGATTTGACCAAAAATGTATCCCACCGTATGGCATGCCTCAGAGAAGATTGGGTTAAAATTTCAAGCATCTGCGATGAGTGGTTGCTGAGAAAAGTGCGACGAAAATTTGTTACGGACAGACTGACAGACGGACAGACACACAAGGGTAAAACAGTATACCCCACTCTTCTTCGGATCGGGGGTATAAAAAATGTTTTGAAGCATTTTCGATAGTAAGGAATAAAGCTTATTTTCGTCTAACTAACTATATATCCACAAAGCGGTTTAAAAAAATATGCCCCAAGCTTTGTTATATTGTATAACATAGGTTAAAATAAGCACCATTTCTTATTTAATTTAATTGCAGACGACAATAAGACAATTTTTCCTCCAAAGATGGTTTCACATTGATCATAGATAAAACTTTAACGTCAAGCAGAGTTATAAGTTTTTACTTACTCATTATGACGTAGGCAACTTGTGTTAATCAATATAAATCTTTTATATCATGGCACCTGATCCCACCTCTGATGTTTCGGGGGTCCGTGTTTGCTCTTCTCTTATTTTGTATTGTTTTATGGACTTTGAGATTGAACACTGTTCGATATCTCCATATCTTTCATCCAATCAAATGACGTGTAACAACTAAAATTAAATGATTCCTTTTTAAATTCAGAAGCATTACAAAGCTGGACAAGACAACGGGTGTAAAACATACTTTTATGGCAAATCATCCAGAGCTTGGGAGACTCGATAGTCTAGATATTTATGCAGATGATTCAGTTGACGGTAAACGAATAAGCCATTTTCTGACTTGATGTTAATAAAGATATATTGTAAGGAAAACTGTATACTATGGTATATATAATTTGATTTTAACATTTTCAGTGAACGCCATTTGTTCAAAGAAGAACGGTAACTGCAGTACGTTCTGTTTTCCGACACCAACTGGAAGAACATGTGGATGTCAGGATAATGTTAATTTACAGTCTGATCAAACTACATGTCAAGGAGGTCTGCATTCCTACATACTTCACTAGGAATTTTTTTTAAATATTAAGTTATATTATTTAAGCTAAACTTTAGAGAAACTTAAGTGCTTGCGGGGAAATGTTAACGTCATTTTTCTATGACGTGATACATTAAGTGTATGTTGCATAACAGTTCAGTAAGTTGTAAAGAGTTAAAAGAATTCTAATCATTTGCAGTTTCCGTTTGTATTCTTTGCAGAGGTTGCACATATTGAAATGAAATTTGAGAAATTTGGTGTACAGATTTTTCATAATAATTTTTAGGTTAAATGTTATGTCCCTTGGACCGAAAAAAATCAATTTATTCAGGGGAGTCAGTGGGACATAATTATTTTACAAACATTTCTTGATAAATCATGGGTCGACACATTGTTTTCCTATTTTTACAGTCATGTACATACGACGGGTGATCAAAACGTTCGTGAACTAACTAAATAACATCCATTTTGGTTTCAGTGTTGATTATTTTTAAATGAGTCCTCTACAAATTTAATGTGCATCTGCCACAATTCTGCTCATGCGCGAATCACGTGATATAGGCGGTCTCGTGACCTGCTCCTTAGCGTTCTGTCACAAAAGCTGAAGGATTTTTCTGAGTCATATTTTTCCCATAGAATGTGCCCCTCCATTTTATTATTTTCTGTATCATATTTCGACTTATATATATTTTAATACCATTTTCTCACAAAAATATATCAAAGATCTTATTTCATATAAAAGTTATTAAGACTTCAGATTTTTAGACTGGTTTGATTGGCACATCCTTGTTGTGTGTAAATGAAAAATATTAAAAACAATAGTCCAGAAAATTCAGAGTAGAAATTTTCGAAAGCAAAACATACACACAGTATATACTGACAGTCCATGCAGTTGTGCTGAGCACACTTTAACAATTGAACGCACCTATCAACAATAACAGAGCTCGTGCCCTGTTTACAAAAACTATGTACGTTCACGGGTGCAATCAATTTGCTAAACTCTGCACACAACACATAGCGCGGAATGATGATACTTGTTAAGGGGTTTTGCTTTCTAACATTTCTACTCTGAATATAAATATTTTTTTGGATTAAAGTTTTTAATATTTTTCATTAATACACAACAAGATTACCACATTTCCTCAGTGTTAAGAATAAAAGTAAAATTTGTGAAAGTGCAAGGATGTGTCAATCAAACCAATCAAAAAAATTGAAGTTTCGATAACTTTAAGATGAAATGATTTTTTAAATATATTTATGTGTGAAATGCTATTAAAATATGTAATTTGTGATATTATACAGAAAATATTAACTTGAAATCTGTATCCATACATCTTTAATACTTATCTTATTATCAATAAAGTTAGGGTACTAAACAAAAACAAAATATTTGATGCATGGATTGATATATATTTTATGACTGATTTTGATTTGAAATGATATAGATTATAAATCCATGAAATATATATTAATTGTAGGTTTTTCTTAATTGGTGCTTAGATATGAGACTTTGTCTCGCTTTCTGTATAATTATATACAAAATTTTGCATAAATTGTTAACCTTATGACAAAATATTATAAAATTCCCCTACTATACTTGGTAAACATTACTAAGGTTTTACCAGTTTAAATTTTAATCTATGAGAAATATTGCTGATTTCTAGAAAAAAAAAGTTTGTTTGTGTTATATATCCTTAATCTATTTTTCAAACTGAAAATTGGAGATCTTTAATAACAATTTGTCAAATTTGTCTAATTAAAAACACATCTCTTTTCAAACATACTTTCTCTTGGCAACAGAACATATATAATTTCTAACCATCTCCCTTCATTAATTTAAAGCAATCAATCCAATCATTGATTGTATTTCTAGGAAGACTTTTGTCTTAATTAAATGTGTACAAATTATTATACGCTATTGCAAAGAATTTTTCAAGATTAACCTTAACCTTTTCGGCATAATTATGCTATTATTAGAACTTGAGTATTGCTATATGTGTACCAAATTTTATTCTAATCTGAATAGTAGTTTCGTAGATAGAGCGATAATTCGCGAACATTTTGATCACCCATCGTATACTACCTGATATCGATAATGTAACCCTTTGGTCTCAATAAGCTGTTTTTAAAAATTTCATTTTCGACTGATACATAGAAAAAGAAAAGGCTTAAAATTGTTTTATTGCCATCCGCCTCACTTCGCTTAACTGTGTGATTATTCATCTAAAGCAGAACAAAACAGTCATGGAATAAGCATACATCAATAAAATTGTTACATGTATACATTCCTCTTACTTTTCATATTTCTATTTAATTTGTAAAAGCCGCTGATTTGTAAATAGTTCCATTAAATCAATCTAGTAGTACTTTGTTAATTCAGGCGCCGTAATACGACGCCGCTGGAGGGTCAGGTAAAAAATATTTTTATTTGTTCGGACAAATTAGAAAATCGTTCGGACGAATAAGTTATTTGTTCGGACAAATTAGAAATTCGTTCGGACGAATCAGATATTCGTTCGGACAAATTAGAAACTCGTTCGGACAAATTAGAAACTCGTTCGGACGAATAATTTATTTCTTCGGACAAATTTCTAACGAATTTCTAATTTGTCCGAACAAATAAAATTATTTTTTTACCTGGCCCTCCAGCGGCGCCGTGAATTCAAATGCAGAATTATAAAATTGAATAATGATAATAATTTTACTTATTTTAATTTTATTTTCTCTGCTTCTGAGTAATTAACCGATGACCTACAGTATTTACATAGCTATGATGAGCAAGAAAGTCTGTAAATTGTAAATTTCATGGCCCCTTTGGTAAGGGGTTCTGGCGTTAGGTCAAGGCTCAAATGGTTATATAGTAAAAATGCATGAACTGTTTGAAAATCAACTCTGCTCTTAGGTTTTTAATAAATAAACACGATGTTATAGGTTCTCTGCGAAATAAACTAAGTTTGTCACGTGATCAAATTCTGTGAAACCCGAAAGGCTTCTTAGATTTTATCACATACCAACTAAGTTCATTTCCAAGAGAACTTTAGCATTATTAGTTATCCAGGTTCAATCAAGTGTTTACGGGGATTTACCCCGGTTGTATTCCATACATCCTCGGGACGAAGATAAAACTGCATTTTTTATCCGCAAGTCCCGCCGTATTGTTGTGTTGTGACGCCTACTTACCTAGTTGTTGTTTAGTCTTGAAAGTTTACTTCGCTCCAACATTTGAATTTTTAAATTCATATTCAGCAGTCCAGTTTAGTAATTCTCTGTTTATAATAAAAGAACAATGATTGCTGATGAGAGTTATTTCATGAGTTCTCAATGTATTGTAAGTCAAGAGCGGTGGTTTTGTCTGTTTAGTATATGTTTGCATAACTCAAAAAGGAAATTCGGGTTAAGAAGGTAAGTGCGGTTTAAGACAATTATAGTATTCAAAACATTGTTCACATCGATAGAAGATCTATAGTATATCTCTTGATTAAAAATTACCAATATGTTTCAATCATTTTTCAATCATTTTATCTTTTTCATCGCTATTAATTTAGAAAAATTTCAAAACCAGTTGCACCGTGACAGAAATATGCTAGCAAAATATCATCTCGAAGTGTGATTTCATCGCGCTATGATCTCTGACCCCCAAATAAGTTTATAAAAAGTTGAACATATTTTCTCTTCAATAGGTACATCTCAGAAAAATATTAACAAATGTAAATATTGATCAAATTAATTGGTACATTATTGTAGTGAGGAAGGGTGCCTCGTCCAAAATTATGAATTTCATGCCGCCTAGCTGTGTCATGTTTTTGGTGTTACGTGAAGGGCAGGGATCTAACGCTTATATATAAGTGAACATGCATGAATTGTTTGAACGTCTTTTTCTCTGCTCCTGGATATATAGCAAATGATGATTATACATAATTATGATGAGAGAAGATGCTTTTTATCAAAATTGTGAATTTCATGGCCTCCTAAGAGTACTGGTATTAGGATGGGTCTCTTATGATTATAAAGTGAAATTCATTGAAAATCTTTTCCTTTGCTTTGTGCATAGTTTTGGTGAGGAAGAATGCCTCTTCCAAAATTGTGAATTTCATGGCTCCTGGGTCAAGGGTTTCTGGTGTAAGGACAGGACTCTTATGATTTTATTGTGAAAATGCATAAATTATTTGAAAATCCTTCCCTCTGCTCATATGTATTATGCTGATGATCTTAGTATATCGTTATGATAAACTATGATCCTTCTTACAGAATTGTTTATTTCAAGATTTCTTGGTAAAGGTTACTGAAAATAAATTCATGCTTTGAAATCTGTTCTGTATTTATCATAATTTATAATGAGGAATGTTGCATTTTCCCAAAATTATGAAATGTGAGGCCCCAGGGTCAAGGGTTCCTGTAGGGTGGCGACACTACATATTAATACTGATTAATGGAAATGTACTTTTTCTTTGCTATAACTCCTACCCCGCTTCTTGGTAATAAATATTCAAGCTTAAAGCATTCTGCATGTATAGATGAAATGAGCAATGGTGCTTCTTTCAAAATTATGAATTTTATGTGTGACACTACTCGTTATACTGTCATTGTGTCATATGGCCTTGGGTTTAAAATACGAACCGAATTCATTTATTTGAAAGTTGTTATATGATATACAGGTGACCTATGGTTTTTTTTTATGTTTGTACAGCAAAAATCGCCTCGTTGTTTTCTTTTTAACATCGGACTCCATGCTATATGATATTCTAGAAGCTTTCGTCAATATTGAGATCGTTGAATGACGAAAATGATTTTCAATTTTCCTTCTTTCATCGGTTATCACAATTTTTTTTTCTTTTATATCATTCAAATCAGGTTTTGGTTGAATAAATCAGTGATGACTTTTTATAATATAAATAAACGCTTTGCTTGCACATGTTGTCAGTTTCATTACAAATTGTCAGCAGCTTCGATCCGCCAACGTAAACGCCACCATACTCAAACGTTTGCTTTTTCTTGGCTGTTAAAATATAGAAAATTAAGGTAGTCCGAACCTCAGATCCTGAAAATGATACATTGAGTAATTGAAAATGGTCACAAAGATGTCTCTAAATTCTCAAAGTTATGTGTTAGTATTTACCCACTGTTTCTTAAAATTCATCTTTCACGTTATTCATATTATATAGAAAAAAATAGCAAATCTCATAAATTTTCAGGAAATGCGAATAGAACTACCTGCAGCATATTTTTTAATGGAAAATTGATCATCTTTAACATTTTATGAGTTAAAATCATAGGTATCCAGGCTTTTGAAGAAAATTGTATGATATTTATACTTATTCGATGCTTTAGTAGCTCCTATTTCCTACGATCGTTTTATTATGCAAAGTGTATGAAGTATGAACACCATAAATCACTTCTAAACTTAAATAATGCGGATAAACATTGATAACTAAGGCTAGATAAAAAAAATCTTTCGATTTCTTTAAATATGTAGATTTTACTTAGTACTTTTATGAGGTACAAATATAAACTTTTTTTCATACCGTTTCTTAAAACTTCAAAGAACCTTGAATCACATTGATGAGAGACATAAAATGAAAATTCTTGCATCAAAAACATTTCAATTTCAAGCTTAAATTTGAGGCATTTTGAATAAAATTATAAATTAAGGAGTTATCCTTCGTCGCTAAGGATCGGATATCCTTAAAGTAAACTTTGAATTTAATGTACGATACTTTTTATATGTGTGAAATCTAAATGTAGTTTACGGACATCATCCTGTATACATGTATACTATACAAGTGTTTTGTTAGAGTAGTAATTAAGATCACGAGTGCCCCCGTTCTGGAGTTTATTTGCAAAATTTATTGATTTATAAGTATAGATTTATTGATATACCTTATGACTTTTTTGTGTGCATATGAATAATGATAAGTTTTTTAATAACTGCTTCCCTACAAGCTACAATATAAAGTTGATTTTTATGCGTTATTCTTTTCAGAAAACTGAGTAATAAGTTTTTAAAATACTTAAAATGTGTTGTCATTTGGGATATTCCTATAACACTAAACATCTAATTTTATGTAATGTCTTTATGGAAATATATTACTTTGAACAGTATCACGCTGCACTACTTCTTTGCAAAATGCCATTTTGATTGACTGCTTTGCATATCCGGAAGACACTTGTGAATTTGGGTGCAAACCTGGATTTAGACGTACTCTCAACGTATCTGCTACATGTAATTCGTTTGGCGAGTGGACTCCATCGTTGGCATCTCTTTGTGCAGGTCTGAATTCCTGTTTTCATTTTTTTTATTATTATAAAGGATTTTCCATGATTTGTGATTTGATATGTTTTAAACAAAATGTGTCCTTTCTTGTCTGAGCCTTTGTCGAGGGCAAACACACACAGTGAGTTGGATAAAAATCATATCCAACCACAATCAAAATCAGTACTTCTGATAATGCTCATTTTTCATCTAACAGATTCTTTATTTTAAATAACTTGGTTTTTTTAGGTCACCTGAGTAAACTCAGGTGACCTATTGCTATCACTTTTCGTCCGTCGTCGTCCGTCGTGCGTTAACATTTGAACATTTTCAGCTTCTTCTCTGAAACCACTGAACCAATTTCAACCAAATTTGGCAAATAGCATCTATGAGTAAAGGGGAGCAAAAATTGTGAATTTTATGGTCCCTGCCCCCCTGGGGCCTGGGGGGTGGGGCAAAAACCACTAAAATTAGTGCAATATTTAAAAATATTCTTCTTTACTCCTGGACATCAAGCAGTCAAACTGTTGGTATGATTGTAATCAGCATGGAGTCTTCTGCCAAAATTGTGAAATTCATGGCCCCAGGGTCAGGGTTTCTGATGTTAGGGCGGGGCTCTATTGATTATATAGTGAAAATACATCAATTCTTTGAAAATCTTCTTCTCTGCTCCTGGGTATTACATAAACTAACTTAGTACATAGTTATGTTGAGCAAGAGTGCCTCTACCAAATTTGTGAATTTTATGGCCCCAGGGTCAGTGGTTCTAGTGCTAGGGCGGGGCTCTATTATAGATTATATTGTGAAAAAACATCAATTCTTTGAAAATCTTCTTCTCTGCTCCTGGGTATTACATAAACTAACTAATTGCATAGTTATGATGAGCAAGAGTGCCTCTACCAAAATTGTGAATTTTATGGCCCCAGGGTTAGGGGTTCTAGTGCTAGGGTGGGGATCTATTATAGATTATATAGTGAAAATACATGAATTCTTTGAAAATCTTCTTCTCTGTTCCTGGGTATTAAATAAACTAACTGAGTAGATAGTTATGATGAGCAAGAGTGCCTCTACCAAAATTGTGAATTTTATGGCCCCAGGGTCCAGGGATTATGGTGTTAGGGCGGGGCTCTATAGATTATATAGTGAAAATACATCAATTCTTTGAAAATCTTCTTCTCTGCTCCTGGGTATTAAATAAACTAACTTAGTACATAGTTATGATGAGCAAGAGTGCCTCTACCAAATTTGTGAATTTTATGGCCCCAGGGTCAGGGGTTTTGGTGTTAGGGCAGGGCTCTATACATTATATAGTGAAAATACATCAATTCTTTGAAAATCTTCCACTCTGCTCCTGGGTATTAAATAAACTAACTAAGTACATAGTTATGATGAGCAAGAGTGCCTCTACCAAATTTGTGAATTTTATGGTCCCAGGGTCAGGGGTTCTAGTGTTAGGGTGGGGCTCTGTTGATGATATAGTGAAAATACATTAAATCTTTCTTCTCTGCTCCAGGGTATTAAGAAGATGAACTACCTATATAGTTATGATAGACAAGTGCCCTAATCTTTCAGAGTTGTGAATTTCAAGGCCACAGGGTCAGGGGTACAGTGGCTGGAACGTTATTGTTGACAACTTACACGAACGATCACGTTACACGAACGATTCCGCACGATTAAACCTGTTACACGAACGATCTTTCACGTTCACGATTCTACACGTTACACGATCTTACACGATTGTTAACGCAAACGCACGATTCTTCACTCAAATTAGTTCAAAATATTTAGGAATCGATATTTTCAAAACGAAATACGGCTTAATACTTATTTAAGATTTCAAAGAATTATCAATATTATTTCATAGACTTTGAAGAAAAAAACGGAAAATGATATTTCTGTAACTATATATATGCAAGACTTAATATTTTAGATAAAAAATAATTATTTCTAAAGTAATTCTCCGATAAAAAAAAACGGATTTTGTTCGTTCAATCAGACGATGTACATGTATGTGTGTCGTATAATTTGATTGAATTGGATATCATGATATGCAGAAAGGGGGATACGATTGAACAAAAAGGGCAGCATGGAATGACTTAAATCATAATTACAAATTTTATCCTTATGTTTCAAATGATTCAATGTCTGGTAAACTTGCCAATTATTCAACTTTTTTATTTGCAGAAATTTAAAATTAATTAATTCCAAATAGGCTCAAGAGATAAACACAGATAATCAAAACTCTCGAAAATCATGCCGTGTCCATGTATAATTGTCGACTAACTAGTTATGTAAGCATTGAGAAATGTTTATTTCTTTGTTAAAAAAATATATTTATTTTCAATGAATTGATTTCAAGATTATCTTGACCACAATAAGAAGTAAATAATAATTAAAATCAGATTTTTCAAAAAGGCATTAAAGATCTAAGTACTTTATCAAGCGCTATTTGACGAGAACTTAATATTGTACGACTTACTATATTGCTTGTTCACGGGTAGACTGGTACCCTGACATTGGTTAACGGGCACAAGCGCCCTAAAAAACCAACGACAGGTAACCACTGCCATTTTATCGCGTCACAGGAAACAGCACTGATGAAAAAATCTATATTTAGACAAGCGTAGATCCAGAAGTGCTGAAGTAAATAAACCCTTCTCTCTGCACTCTACACATGCTACACTGCTGTTAACAAAGAAAGTAGACGGATTTTAAGCATCTGTAAAACCATAAAGAAGTACTGCCTCAAAAACCATTAAATTTAAAGCGATATCACAGGTCCCATATGCATATCCTATCAAAATAATTCAAATCAAGATCTGTTGCATGATTAATTTTCCTACATATTTGCCACTGATATGATAATTAAATCATCGATTTAGTTATAATACTTGTTCTTTAACATTATTTATGTTCTAATTAATCTAAAGTTTACGAGGAATTAATGCTATAACTCGTCTCTCTAACTCCATGTGTTATGGTATGCACCAGGAATAGGAGGATTACAATGTTTAACACTACGGAACATTTGAAAGTTCATTGTGACAATATAGTTGATGATATACTCAGTTAATAAAGTCCTTACTATGTTGTTTCAATTGCTCTTTTCATCAAGAAAGATATGCTACGTTTTGTTTTCTCTGTTATTTAAATCGCTGGATCCACCTAACATTCTTCTCTGCAAGCATAATGCTATTTATTTTTGGAATGCGCAGTACTATGCGCGAAGCAAGCAGTGAGTTTTTCCACTGTCATGGCGGCGGAGGTTACCTGTCCTTGTAATTCCTAGCGGCAGCGACTGGAATCAAGGGCAGAGAACCAGTGCTAGTTCACGGGCGATAATTAGTTCGTTCTGCATTCTATTATGTATATTGCGCTTTTTCATTTTATTTGGATTTTAATTAATAAATTAAGAAAAACAAACATGGGAAATGCTTATTTTGCAAATACCGGGTAACATTCCGATAAAAACTTACAAAACGAAATTTACACGATTCCTAACGCACGATCTCGCACTATTAAAAACGCACACGATTGAGTCTGATACACGAACGATCTTGCACGTTACACAAACGATCACTCACGATACACGAACGATTCTACACGATTGGTTTGTCAACAATAACGTTCCAGCCACTGCACCATAGAAGGAGGGGGGCTGTACTTATATACTGAAAATGAATGAATGGTTTGAAATGTACTTCTTGGTATTAATCAAATATCAAGGCCCAAGGGTCAGGGGTTCATGTGTGGTAGGGGCACTACTGATTATTGCTGAATATTACTGATCAGTTGAAATGCATTTTTTGTTCCCCTACCCTGCGTATGGGTATTAAGTAAACAAACTAAACAACTGCTAAATGTATTGTTATGATGATCAATGGTGCCTCTTTCAAAATTGTGAATGCCAAAGCATCTGACTTTAAACATGAATCAAATTCAATCACTGGAAAGTTGTTTTATAATGCTCAGGTGACCTATAAGGCCCGTGGGCCTCTTGTTGGTACAGTAAGATCAGTATACATGACAGTAATCGGTGAATGGTTATTTTAAAATTATTTTTCTCAGGTTGAAGTACGCTGTATCTTTTTACTAAGTCTGTACGAAGAAAAGTAAAATATACAATTTTTCTCCTTATTTATTATTACACATAGGTCGCAAATATCACTGCGTGATTATTCATCTAAAGCAGATTGAATATAACATAAAATTTTTATACATTAATTAATTTGCTTTACATTCCTCTTACTTAATATATTACTATTTAATGTGTAAGCTTTCAGTTCAGCTGATTTTTTAAACGTTTTGATTAAATCACTCACGTAGCAGTCAAATCAATGGACTGTATATGATGAGTCGTTTTTGGTCCCCTAAAAAATAAACATTTTAGAATGATATTCATAATATGTATAATTGATTTTTTATTTTGTACAATAGATTACATTGAAAATATTTCCAGTACATTTTTTTGGATTTACATGTATAATATGCATTCACAGGCTAATATTGATGTCAGAAACGATGCTAATTTTGCAATCCAATCAAAACAAGACAAAAGTGGGCTTTTTCTTGACATTTTTTTTTCTTATGGGAAACAAAGAGCAAATCTTGGAACATGCTGTCAGTAACAAAACTTGTATAGATACGTTAAAATGTACGTAAATATGTTAAAATGGCGGGAAAACGTGAACTTTATGATGTCAGATTTCTAAATCAATGGCGTTTTGATCAAATTGAAAATTACCAATAAAGGCCACATGTTTAGCCGTGCAAAGTAAAATAGTACGTCTAATAATGCACATTTTTCGGTTAATTATTTTAAGTAAATGGGTGTTTTTGGTACAATAAGGTCAGTATACATTTAATAAGTCATTAAATGTTTATTAATTAGTTTATTAATTTATTTATTTATCTCACGTTGATGTGTGCTATAAATGAATCTTTGATTAATGAATTTGTAATAAACATAATAAAATATAATTTTTTTCTCTTTTATTTATAAACATTTATTTTGGAAAATTTCAGACATAAAGTTAATGGCCATTTTTCAAAAATGTAAAAATATGACGAGCAGTGCATATAATCTTTGAGGTTATGAATGTTTGATTCTTGATTATTGTTTTTTGAAAGTTGAAAATTCTGTTAAGATACGAGGGGTTATCAAAACGTTCGTGGACTAGCATCATAAAATTAAAACTGCTTTAGGAACATCAATGAATTTTAAAATATCTAGTTAGCATCATCTTTTCTATCTAAAGAATAAACCATGAATCATGAATTTTATTTTTTAATAAATTAGTAATGTTTTAGTAAGCAATGTTATGTCCAGGCGGCGCAACCTCGAAAACGACGTTTTTGCGACCTATGTGTAACTGAGAAAAACTCTTTTGATAAGGTCATTTGACATTCGAAATTCCCGTTAATTCAGGTATGTGTTGGGACACAATTGTTCCATAAACTATAAAATTTTACTTCATTCTGGAAGTTCTATGAAATTTTATCGTGAATTTTACACGGAATGTCTAAACAACTGAGGCCTTGAAAATGACGTCAAAAGGGGGGAGGGGTTTCTGTTTCCAACATTCTATAAAGTTTTGCCCCTGAAAAAACTGGTATAGACCCAAATTATGTTGAAACTGGATAGGTAGAAATAATATGCATCCAGAGTAATTGTCTTCTAATGTCAAAATAGAGTCAGAGAGAAAAGGGATACACAGTTAAAACCGATTTGCAGTCAAAGTGTGAAAAATCAATCACGTCAAAAATGACGTTGATCATGTGTTGTAGATATTGAACTCCCAAAAGCAAAATATGCCGGCACAATCAAGCGCAGATCTCTCCCAATATATTAATCCATTTGGAATATTATATTCATTGAAGGCCACTGTTCATGACATTGTAAAGTCATATAAACAAGGCGGGTTTAAATCCTTACTCATCTCCAGGTAATCTCATCAAAAAAGTGTTTGAGGTAGTAGAAGCGAACATTGAAAAAACAATGACGTTATCGGACGTCAGAAAATAAACGACGACAGCGCCGCGTGATCATATAATGTCGTTTTCAATTTATAATAAATTGGCAAATAATGAACGCATCAAGCTAAATTTTTTAACATTTCTTTATTTTTAGTTGTTTTATTATCTATATCATTGAATGAAATGCTGATTGACGTTTTTCATACCAATTGTTAGTCCATTATTTATACACTGAATTGACGACGGATTTTTTCCGTTATTTTCTGATTATGACAACAAGCACACGGCGGGTGTGACCGGTCGGCAGGGGATGCTCACTCCTCCATGGTACCTGATCACACCCACTCGGAGTTCCTCGGATGACTCGTACCTCGCACATAACCTCGGACGTCAACGGTGATCTACCATCTTGCTGATTCAGTCATGTGATCTTATTTGAATTTCTTTCAAATGTCATACATTTGAAATCGAAGTTATTTTGTGGCACACTCAACAGTTTTTTCTTGCTTTCAAAGCCTATTAACATGAGGATGTAATCAAAACCTGTTTACGATAAAGAATTGCATAAATTAAGAAACATTTTCGAAGAACGTTATGCAGAGCGAAATATGAAATGAGTGATAAGGCAGTTTCCGGCGGAGAAATGTAAGGATCTGTTGCGTATTCCTCCACCAATCACATCCGAGGTTTGAATGGAGTGGAGCGGAGTCAGCCGAGGATTGCCGATTGGATCACACCTCTGATGTTTCGGAGGTCCGTGTTTGCTCTGCTCTTGTTTTGTATATTGTTTAATGGACGTTGAGATTGAATACTGTTCGTTATTTCCATATTCTTCTATATAAAATTTGAAAGCACAGACTACATAATACTAATTTTATAGCCTCAGTCCCCGAACTTTTTGAAATCCCCTCGTAATATGATGTAAAATACCATAGAAAGCTCTCATTCTGATCTTTGCAATGCATAAAAAGACAATCATTAAGATTAGATTTACCTGTAAAAGCTTACATCTAGGTAACACCATTCGGCAGCAAATGGGCTCCTGCTCTTGGCTAATCCGCGTAAAGGACATGTATTTATAATCTTTTGACCAGCGTACATGTAAAATAAATCTGTTTTCTTTGATTTCTAATCCAACAAAATACATGTATAAGTTATGTTTTCCCTTCCCTACCAATGACATGGAAAATGTCTAATTTTCAGAGATATTTTGTCCATCCCACATAAGAAATGCTTTTCTTTCATCAAATTGTTCGAGAAGAGTAAATGAATTATGCACGTTCGAGTGCGCTGAAGGATATTCTCTAGCAAATTCCCAAAACTTAGTTTGCACAGAAGACGGTATTTGGAATCTGGATACCAATAACCTGTGCCGGCGTAAGTACATTTAAATTTATATCTCAATAGAAAATGAGCTTATTAGCAATTTTACAACAAAAAAACCTAAAAGTATGTGATTTAACCCCCCCCCCCCATTTTTTTTTCAAGTTTTTAAAATAAATTAAAAAATCATGGGATTTTTTTTTCTTTTAAGATATTCAACTATGAATTATTTTGTGTAAAGCATCAGTTTGATTATTTTTAAGGTTCTACATGTTCCAAAACATTAAAAAATGGTCAGCTCATCGGTTGTCGGGCACATCTTGGAGAAACATGTCAGTATAAATGCGCCAGTCCTTTTGAAATAAATCCCTCCTTTCCAAATATTACCTGTAATACAAGTGGGGAATGGAGTCATAATACTGAAGATTTATGCGGTGAGTTTGCTTTTTTGTTAAAAAAAAAATCAGGAGAAATTCAATCAATTATTTTAAAGATTTATAAGAAACTTATGTAATGTTTGCAGTACAATTGTGTGTATCAACAATCCCTAATGGAACATTAGGGTCAGATTGCCAAAGAGTAATAGGAAATAACTGTTCATTCACGTGCGACATGGGTTACGAATCTTCCATCACCTCTTCACACATTATTTGTACCTCAAACGGCACCTGGAACAAAATGACTGATGAACTTTGCAAACGTAAGAAAATACTTTCTTTTAATAAATGTTAATGCATCCGAACCATATTAGCCTAAGTTTCAATGGATTAAATGCATATCAGATAATTATGTTGTCTGAAATAGCTTGCTTTGGGCGTTCAAATAATAAAATTTTGTTACAGGATAAACAAAAACACAAAAACTGTCTTAAAATATAAGCAATATTTGAGCTCGGGTCGAAAACAAAAGAGGGCTCGGCAAGCCTCGTCCTCCATCACGTTTTCTTACCTCGCCCAAATATCGCTTATATTTCAAGACAGTAACCATGTATTTTTAGCTCACCAGAGCTGAAAGCTCAAGTGAGCTTTTCTGATCACATTTTGTCTGTAGTCCGTCTGTCCGTTCGTCCGTCTGTCCGTCCGTTTATTTTAACGAAACTTGCCACAAAGCATCCTTGGGTGAAGGGGATTCACGTTTGTTCAAATGAAGGGCCACGCCCTCATTCAAGGGGAGATAATTATGAATTGATGAAAAATTAATGGTATCTTTTAAAAATCTTCTTCTCCAGAACCACTGGGCCAGGAAAGATGAAACTCTTGTTGAATCACCCTAAGGTAGTGTAGATTCAATTTTTTTCAAATCATGGCCCCCGAGGGTAGGGCGGGCCAAAATTGCTGACTAGAGTTTTACATAGAAATATATAGGAATATTCTTCAAAAATGTTCTTTTCAAGATTGACAAAGCCATAATTGATCATATTTATATGAAAGCATTCTCAGGTAGTGTAGATCCAAGTTTTTTTCAAATCATGACCCCCGGGGGTGGGGGTGGGGCAAAATGTCCGACCAAAGTTTTACATAGAAATATATAGGAAAATTCTTTAAAAATCATCTTCTCAAGAACAGCAAAGCCATGATTGGTCATGGGACTACTTTTGGATATAAACTATTCAATAATAATCCAATTTCTAATTTTTCCTAGCCACAGTGCTCAAGTGAGCGATGTGGCCCATGGGCCTTTTGTTTAATTTAGTATGCTTCCTGCCAGTTTGTCTCTATAAAACCATACCCAACAATTCTCGTATAGTGTTCTAAGGATTTATATAGCGTAAGCATACTATGCCGAAATAGTGCACGGCTCCCATTTATAGACAACGCCCATACCGAGGATTGAACTCAAGACCCCAGATTGTCAGTCCGACACGCTACCGATTACTCCACAGCAGCCGTTATCATCCCAATTGTGAGAAAATATATTAAAGTTAGTTTAAAATACTTTACCAATAAAGGAGAAAAATAAAAGAAATATTTTTTTAAAATAGTTTCTCGCAATTTTGCCCCCTTAAGGTCAAGATCTAGTAAATAAAAGGTGCCTACAGATTTATCAAATTTGAGATAAATTTCCTTTATTGATGCTTTACAACTTTAGCTTGGACAAATAAGGTGTTTTGGGGTATAATTTTTAGGTAAACAAGATTAAAAACTGTATTTTAAACTGTCATTTTCAATAAAAAATTAAGAAAACCAGTCATGAATATAGGAGTTTTTTTCATATTCGACAAATGTGTGTGAAATGTGAAAACGGTAATATAATTAGCATGTTCGTGGCCTCTTCTTTAAATCAATATCAAATTTAATATAGGTATCCGGTTTACTTTTCATATGATTTCAAACTGAATGTCATGAAAATACCTTTTTTCTACATAATTCTGCTAAAGCCGTTAAGTACGGGGAAAAGAAAGTTGAAATTGATTATGACGTCATAATGGATCAGAACCAAAAAAATTAGTCTAAAATTATTTACTAGATCTTGACCTTAAGGACGTTCGATCCTGAGCTTTTGAGTAGATTTTGGTCATGACCTTTATTTATAAAATTCTGCATCATTTTTTATTTCTATCATTAGATCTGAATTCTACAATGCAAATTGAACTATATTCAGTGAAAAAAACCGCTATTAAATTTTATTCAAGTAGAATTAGACTAGGGACTATTTTGTGGCGGAAGGTTTTTTAGACGAAAATGATCAGTTTTTCCTTTTTGAACTATAACAGTACTGTTAATTTTGGATTCCTATTTATCCATGCAGGTTGCACACAAAGCTGTTTTTTTGCAGTGAAATATTTATTCTGGTTCTGAAATATTTATTAAATTATTTTTTATGAATTCTATCAACAAAGTGTGACAAATATAGTAAATATATTCTGAAAATCCCTGGAAAAATTTGGCCAATTTTAACGTAAAATTGAAACTGTTTTAGTAATATCTCGATATTTACATCATATACCCCCGCTTTTGATGTTCATTTCTTAATATTGAAGTTAACTTTGACCTATTTGTTTCAAATCAGAAAAAGATTAAAACTTTAAAATAATTTTCTTTCTTATTAAATTTTAAATGCCAGAAAAATCACATTTTATAAGTGCAGAAAGGTCAAATAATTGATTATGCGAAGCAAATTGAAACTTTTTCTTAGTCACAATTT